TAACAGTCACTCTGCACTGATGGATATGGAACTAATGCTGAAGTTAAGAAGAAGCTACTGCTGAGCTGTGGTACATAATTTTGAGAGGCAGGAAGTGCTTCTGAAGGAAGCTGTAGGCACACCTGTACTTGTTACAAATAATACAAAAATACTGCTTGTTGGACAGATGCATGTCTACATGTCCCTGTAGTAATTAGTTAAAAGCCTGCCCCAGGTAAGTGAAATTCATAGTTTGTATCTGTCAGTACCTAATAACCATAGTTACCTTCCTTGCATTCCTAAAGAGTCTACTTACTCTTTACTTACTATACATTCAGTAAGATCAATGGTTGTCTTGGTGTAGGATTAGAATTTTGGAGTAGATGCTGATTCTAGTTGCAGATTTTTTTACTTTATATTAAGAATACAACGTACATGTATATCAACACTGAGGTTCTCTTGACTGGGTATATTGACACAGATGTATATGAATGTCCTTTATTTCTCTTTTTGTTGTGTACATTTTCACAGTTGAATCGAAGTGACAGTGACAGCTCAACACTAGCCAAAAAGTCTCTCTTTGTAAGAAATGCCACAGAACGGCGGAGCCTAAGAGTTAAACGGGTATGTGCTTTATTAACAGGACATGGTTTAGGACAAAGTACAGGGAGAGAAGGAATACCAAACAACTTAAAGGATATGCTTTATTGAAAGTTTTTCAGCAAAAGCAGTGCAAGTACCACGTGTAGTCCTGTAATTTCACATTGAAATCTTAACACAGTGGTCCCAGTCCTACATCTTCACTCTCCAACAAAACGTGTGCTGTTTTAGTTGTGGCTGAAGCCAGCAGGCAGACACTGCTGCTCAGCATCATGGCATTTGTTGTTGAACTTGAGTTACTGCCAAAGGGATCTGGGTTAAAGAACCTGAGTATTACAAAGTCACACAGGGAGGCTTATGCCGCACAAAAGTCAACGCTAGCAAAGTACATCTGAAGCAAATTTTGGTGGAAATTTCAAGGATTTAGATGTCCTTTTAAAGGAATTTACTCTTTTCCAAGTGTTTAAGTAGAAAAAGGATTGAAGAACAAGAGAGTAAGATTCTGTTTCTCTTGCATGAAATTAATTCTTACATAAATTAAGAGAGTTATATTTTAATCTTAATTGTAACTAGAAAAATAGTCCCATGGAAGGCATGTTACCAGGTAGCAAGATTGCATTTTGCATAGAAAAGAAATACTAAATAGTCTGGGATGGCTTCTCCTGCCTGACTCACTCATATGGAAAGTCACTGTGAAAGGACAGTAAATAATGTGAAATACACTGAAGAAATGCATGTTTACGGAGTTTGTAACATTGTGTGTTTGGTTAGGCCTTGAAAAAGCAAATGTTTATAAAAATAAATAATGTAATTGAAATCTATGGGGAAATATGTGTAGTGTTGGGTCTCCTGGCAGTGTCATCCTGGGGATCAGAATGTTTTTCTTGGTTTTAATCTATAAATTGTGCACCTGGTTGGAGAAACTTTCGCATTTATTTTTAGCTAGTGACTGAAGAAAAATTCCAGGATACATGAATTTTTAATTTAAAAAAAAAGACTGCTAAAGAAAAACAAAAATAAAATTTGAGCTTTTCTGACTGTATTATGTCAAACCCTCCTCTAACCTTTCTATATGTTAATTTTTATTCTGTTTCCCAAATGATCCAGCCTGTTTGCCAGCCGATCATGCGAAGAGCTACGCAAGAATGCCCCGTACGCACTTCCCTTGATTTGGAGCTGGATCTCCAGGCGTCACGCACAAGGCAGAATCGTCTGAATGATGAGCTTCAGGCCTTGAGGGACCTTAAACAAAAGCTTGAGGAAATGAAAGGCAGAGGAGAGACAGACCTTCCCCTGTGTGTGCTAGAGGACGAACGTTTCCAGAAACTCTTGAAACAAGCTGAAAAACAAGTATGAGCAGGTTCAGATATGTGTGAATAAATAGGCATATATGCTCCTAACTTTGCCTTAAATTTGCTGAGGAATTTGGTCAATCGTGTTAAAAGATTTTTACAGAAGCTGACATTTGACTAATTACACCTCTGAATTACATAATGTAAACTGTTTCTTTATTGGTCAATACTACAGCATTTAAACCTATAATTTTAGGTAGTATTTTTCTAGTGCCCTCTAAATACTTTAGTAATTCAGAGTAGCAGTTCTATTATTTGGAGTAATAGTTGTGGTTGCTGTAGTAAAATAACATTTCCTTAGAAGTTAATTTAAAATTCTTACGTTCCAGCCATACTTCTACAGACTTGTGTATGCTCTCTATCCTTCAGCGTTGTTTGGTTTGCAGGCTGCACAGAACTTGTATTCAAAAGGTGCTTGTAACAGGTAGAGAGAGGCAATGACCATTACTTAGAGTGGTCAGGGCATGTGTAAAGGCTTATTTCTTTACTCGGGACATAAAGGAAATTTTGGCAAAGGAAAGCCAAATTCTATTCTCTATGCAATGGTCCCTAAAACAATATAAGTATATATGCACTGCCATAAGGTAGGAAGATGCCCTCGTGAATAAAAGAGAAGAAATAGGATAGAAGAATGAGATGCAATGGTAAGAAGTTGGGATGTGGAAATTTCCAACAAGATGCATCAAAAAGATGTTGTAGGGTTTTTGTTATGTTTTTCGAAGGTTGTTTTTTTAAATCATTAGGGAGATCATAGACTGGAATAGGAGCCTAGAGAGGTTGTTAGAGGAGGAAAAAACCCAACCAAGGAAAAAAACCTCCACTCAACCTGCACAGTTGGAGGTATTCATGACCTAACTGGACAAGACCCTGAGCACCCAGCTCTAGCATCACCTACTCTGAGCTGGAGCTTGGAGTGTATGCCCTCTGGAGCCCCTTTCCCATCCATGTCAGTCAATGTACACCAGTTTTCCATGAGGGCAGGTTGTGAGTGACAGCCAGGAAGGATTTGTTCTCTTTAGCTATTTATGGTTGGTAGAAATTAGTGTTTTGATGACACCAAGCTATTGAGAGTAGTAAAAATGGAAACTTTTTCATAAGGTGCAGAGGTCCTCCTAATATGTAAGCAATAGTTATTGGAGGGTTTTTGTTGGTTTGGTGTTTTTTTTTTAAAGCTAAATGTCAGTAAATAGCCTTGTGTAGAAGAGGGAAGGGTGATCCTAATGTTTACATATACAAAGAGGAGCTCTGAATTAGATGTTAGGAATGCAAGACTACAGATATAAGGAACAAAAACATCAGCAAAAACATCACAGCAATCAGCAGACGTTGAAAAGCAAATAATACAGGAATGAGTAAGAAAAGAATTTAGAACAAAACAAATACTGTTATGCCTGTAACTTAAACATTATTCATTTCTTGTTCCCCTTCTCAAAGTGGAAAATAAAACTACAGAGGGTCAACAAGGATGGTCAGAGGAGGAAACAGCTTTCATGTTAGGAGTGGCTAAGTAGCTACAACTGAAGTGTATACAATCATGAGTGAGGTGGAGGAAAGCAATAAATCATTGTCTTTTATTCTACAGGAAGTAGAGAATCGAAGAGGTGGCAGCTTAAATGCAAGCAAACGTAGCACAACATTCAGAAACTAAAAATGTTTTCAACAGAACATTGAGTGCTGCAAGTTTGCATAGGTTGAAAAGTTTATGATTTTATAAATTTTATAAATTCATGGAAGAAAAATACATCAGAGGTCATTAACTGTAATGTTACCATATACTTCAAGAAGCCCTCGAATGTCTAACAGCTTAGGAAACAAAACCTTCTCCCAATATGTTCTCCCAACCCTATGTTTATGCCCTGTTCTGTCTTCCTGTCTCTTTTGGTATCTGCTGTTCACTATAGTTAGTGGAGTTCTAAAATTACTATAAAGCACTAGTAGAGTTTAGGCTGAGCACTGACAAATGTCAGAAAAAACCTTGGGCAAAATGGGGTAGAGTGCAGTATTAAAACATCACACAGTGTAACTGTGGGTTTTTTACCATGTGAATTCACTGAATGAAATGTAATCTACATTTTAATCCATAAAAATAGTAGCTTATAGAAAAGAAGTATAGCTAAATTAATTCAGTTCATAGTTTATATCTAATGGTGGATGCAGGATAGAAATGATAATTTCTGATTGTTTAATTTAAAACTACTCCCACTCTAAAGCTATTCCCACTAGAACATAGTATGACTCTGCAACATTTAATATTATGAATCCTTTGGATTTGTGGTTTATTTCAGCTGGCTCTTTCAAGGCAGCAGATAAGTTTGTCACATTTTATTTTGCTGGTGTCAGTGATCGACAGCATTACACACACTGCCGTGAGGAATAAGGGCAATAATATACATTCCTAAAATATACAGAGGCAGTAGCGCAGCATCAAAGTCCTCTTTTCAAAGGTAGAAGTCAGAACAATGATCACAGTCACTCCACCTCTTTGAAGGGTGCTTACAAAGTTTCTAGAAATATTTCTACCCTTAAAATTGTTGCCTTCCCCTGTGGAGCAAAACAAGCCTGAGAATGCTGTACTCTGCTGTCAGTGTTTCCTCTTGGGTTAGCAAAACACAGCAGCCTCGAGAACATTGTCATAGATTATTTTTTAGATCCTGCAGGCATTATAATGGCACAGACTAATGCAGCAGCTGGAAACGCCAGAGAAATTGAGAGAGTCTCGAGTGGAAAATGAAACCGCAGATGTGGGGGATGTTGAAAATCAGTGGCTGCTTGCTAGCACTCAGTTACTCTGCTTGAAGCCAAATACAGAGACTCCATACCTTCCCTCCCCTTCCTACCACACCTTCCTAAGTACAGCAAGTATGTAAAGCCCACTAATACCTGCAGATCAGAAAACAGTAGGTAATTCTGTGCACCAGAAGCATTTTGTCTTGTTTAGATTGGATTTTTGTGAGAAATCATGCAGTGTTTTGAAGTTTCAGTCTTAACTCCTCATACAAGTAAGTTTTCAGACACCTGCTGTCCTCTGAAGGACTTCTTCGTTTATATCCAAAGAGATTCCTGTAAAGATCTGTACATATCTTCTTTATTTCTTTTCAGTACATCTTCTGTGTAGAGGTAACCTGTAGTTGTCATTAATACCACAAGTATATTCTTGATCCAGTGTTTTGGTGTTTAGCACAGTTACAATTTTTCCTTAGATTCAGTTTCTTCTATACAAAAAACATGGAAGAACGAGACAGGAAATAGTGTTTTAGCTTTAATTCTTATAGTGTTTCTTCTTTGTCATCTTAAACTAATTTAAGCTTAAACTAAGCCCAGATAGAGGATTCCAGTCTGGCACTTATTTTTGGTAGATAAGTGCCAGATTTTTGGGACTTATTGAATGCATGGCCATTTTATTAGTGTACTTTTCCATATTTTATATAGATCACTCAAGAAACATGATGCAAATGCAAACACAGTCATGTACTTACCTTCTCCTGTGCATACTCCCAGAGACATTGGGCTGAAATCCAAGTTTCTCTGAGAGCATCCTGAAAAAATAAATGGATTCAAAAATGAAAAAAGAATACATGCTAATAGAGAGTATGAAAACAAAGAAGTCATCTATGCTGTTAACCTAAAATGCAGTAGTCACAAGAATCTCATGTATAGTTAGGGAAAGGATAAAATTAGAAAACTTTGAAATATTGTATGTTTACTGCTTTGATGATAAATATTAACTAGGGGAGCTGGTAAAACATGTCCAGTGACATACGTAAAGTTAATTAAGACATTACCAGTTGTAGATTGCAAATTTATGCTCACTATCTAATGAAGAAAACTATATTTATAGGTTAATTTCATTTTAAAATCATAGCTATTTTGGAGCTGGGGAGTGAAGAAGTCAACAGCAGTACAAGGTGACAGGATTTTGTGCAAGTTTGAAAGCGTGATGCTCTTTCGTGTATAACACTTTCATATAAAACACCAGAGTGGTGCATTTCAACAGACAGAGGGTACCACTATCCTGCTGTGAACGGCTTTCTTATAACTACCCAGTATGAAACTGATAGTATGGACTAGCTCTTTTGAATTAGTTGATTTTGTTGTTTAGAAGTCTACAAGGGTTGAATTCAGAACTGGGGATGTAAACTCCTACGTTACAAACCACCTTGAAGATTGCCGTTTCTGGCTTGCATGTGTGTTTTAATTTGAGGTAACAGAACGGCATTTTCAAGTGCCTAAAGTTAAGAATCAGAAATTAACCTCTTTAGAACTTTGTAGTTGTTTAAGAATGTGAACTGCTTCTATTGAATTTTGATGGCTGACAAAATTCAAACTACAATAAATAACATTTGTCTGATGGTGCCTGCGGTCTAGAAATGAAAACTAAGTGTACACTTAAGGTGGCACTGCCCATGCCATGTACCCTACACATTATGGGGGTGATAATTCATGGATGTGTTAGGGGATTCGCCCACATGTGGACAGTGGCTATTGGTCTAAGAAGTCCAGGTGACCTAAAAAGTACTGCTGTTCAAATTATTGAGTGTTCAGAATCCCTTGATTAAGCTTTTTAAAAACCCAAGCACAACTGTTAATAGCAGTCTTGCCAAAAAGGTGGATGGCACAGCTGTGATTGTCCTGTTGATGCAACACTGCTTGGTAAAGACATAGAGCCAGGAATACTAAGGTACAGAAATAGAGTAACTTTCTGGGGAGTATGTAGCTGCTCAAAAATGTTCACAAGTGACCTTTGATCTATTGTTACCACTGATGTTCTGTTCACTTGCCTTGGCTTTTACACCTCTACAATGCAAATGAAAAAAATACATCTTGTGCAAAATAGGTGCCATGTCCTCAATAAAAGCACAAAAGTTCATGTTCCTTGCTAACAAGGTCAACAAAAGGTGAAAGCATATTTTGAGAGCACACCTTCCTTGTTTTTCTGTCTGTCATTTTAGAGTAGTTATAAGTAACTTTACAGAGAGTTTCATTAGGAAATAAAAGTATCTTACAGGGAAAGAGAATCAGTGGCTCCCAGCTCTAAAAAGATACTTGGATAGACAACACATGTTCATACAAATTTAGGTATTGCCTTAAAAAATATCGAAATTTATAAGACCTAGTAGCCACCTGTGATGGCATGGGATTTGTTCTATTTACTTTTTTAGGAAAAAAACTGTTTCTTATTTTGTGCCCATGGCCTAGGCTTGTGATGTCAGTCTTTTGTCTTGCAGACCCTTTATATAGAGGTTATCATAGATTAATTTAGGTTAGAAAAGACCTATAATATCATTGAGTCGAACAGTAAGCCTAACACTGCCAAGTGTTTTGCTTGACACAGAAGAATCTCTCATTTCTTTGAAATGAGTAATTGTTCATTATCAGCAAAATACAGTTATTTTTCTTGTTACAGACTGAACAGTCAAAAGAAGAGCAGAAACAAGGTTTAAGTGCTGAGAAATTGATGAGGAAAGCTTCTAAGGATGTGTGCCGGCTACGAGAGCAGAGCCAGAAAGTGCCACTGCAGGTGCAGTCATTCAGGTATGGCCTGTTCTGTTTTTCATGCCTTTTTTAATGTAGTGAAGTAACCTGAATTATTTATAGATATAATCAGATGTTCCCTGTAACATTAGTCAAAAGTCCACATGCTTTTGAATTACCAGAAGCATTGCACATTTCTAACATAGCTCTAAGTTGGAGTTTCGAAGGGCCAGGCCTCGGTAACTTGCTCATGTCAGAGGTGGCAGTGTGTCAGCTGAGCTGTGGTGGTGCAGAAGCCGAGGGGGAAATTTCAGACCTCTATTCTATGTGACATCTGCTGTAGGCAGGCCTGTGTGTGACTGTTGTCATGGCTCACCTCACCCACAGCAGGTTGACGGTGGGCTTTAAGTCTTGGGATCTCTTCTAGTGATGGCAGCTGCCTGAAGCAAAGCACTCCTCAAGGAGAGGTAGAACAGGATACATCTCATCAGGAAACTGATTAACCACTCCTTTTGCCTTGCTCAAGACTTACTAGTAAAGAAAGATCTTGAATCCCTCCTCCTTTTTCTTTCCCTTCTCCTTTTGGTTGTGGGAACAGCAACCAATTACTTGAAGCAATTAATGAAGTGTTCTTTCTTAGCATAAGCCAGCATGAATACTTTCTATCTCAAACCTTAATTTTAACTGGTCTAAATTCCTAAAAGGCTGGCCAATAAGTGGCCTGAAGGCCACAATTATATATAAAAATAAATATTAATCTTTTGATTGAAAAATACAGCTCTTGCTCTTGAACATTGAAATAATACTGCAAGTTAATTTGATCTGTTTTGTCAGTAACACGTTTTTAAAGTTTGGATTTTTGATTCCTTTATAGGAAATTTAAGTCAGCTACTAATAAATGTGAGATATTCTTCCTTTTCTAACCGTCTTTTGTGAGCAGCTGGAGAAATACATAAACAAGTAAGGGCCTGTGAGGTGACATGTATTGCAAATCACAGCTGTAAGTGATGCAGAATCGAAACAAGAGAAAAAAGGGTTCCTCAGCAAACAACAGCTGAGTTTTTTATCTTTAGTGTGAAACTCAGAGCATCTTCAAACAGTTTTCACCTTATTGCAAGTCTTAAGAAAGAGTTTTGGTCAGTGCTGGTCTTATGACAGTCATCACAGTCAGACTCCTGCCTAAATCTACAGGAACATATAAAAGACTTTCCCTGCAAGAAGGGTATCAAAACACTCTATTGTCCTTTATCTTCTAGTTATCACACAACTAGGAGGAGGAATCCAGTTTAGGGAGTTGAATTTGCTCTGAGCTACTATTTTTAATGGAAACTTAAGCCTCACCAGTGGAAAACATGGTTTGTCTTCTGGACAAATACCTCCTGAGGCTGAATTGTACACGCCCTGCTAATTAGGCTTGTTACAGTGCTGTGGCCTCAGACTAATCACAGACAGGCATTTTTGAAGCTCTCAAGAAGAATGACTCTTCTGAGCTTTAATTTTTAAGCCCCTAATACTTATCTTCTGCTTTCTAGCCTGCTGCTAGGCAAGCCTGTGTAAACTTGTTATGCTTCAGTAATTTCTTAGTTCATAGGAGACAGAAATGGTAACAGCACAGGGGAAGCAACTGGAGAATGGGTTGACAATTCTGCTTCTCTAACTCTTGCCCAGACACAACAATTCCCACCCTGCCCTTTTCCCATGTCAGAATAAAATGATTTCTTTTGCCTTTTCATCCCCCTGCTGAAAATGTCATCATAGGAAATTCAGTGACTGAATCAATATTTCAGGCTTACCATTGCAGTTATTAATGAAATATTGATATTTTTTCTCTTTCAAAATTGGAGCTCCTTTTTACATAAATCTGCCTAAGAAGGGAATTATGTCACATGAATGTGACACATTTTTTGTACGTAAATTGTGTATTTTCCAAACCTCTACTTTACAGAACTATGCTGTAACATTAGCAACTCTACAGTGGATGACATTGGAGTTGTGCCATAAACGGTAAAATAATCCCTTGTTTTCTTTTCTAATTTCAGGGAGAAGATAGCATACTTTACAAGAGCAAAGATCAGTATACCAGCCCTTCCAGCTGATGATGTATAATTATGCTTTTTCATTGAAGTGTTTTTCCATTTGTTCATCTCTTTTCAGATGAGCTTTGTAGTTTCAGTGATGTGCTTTCAAAGATCTATTTTACATTCACTATTGATATGTTTATTTGTAAAATATAGTGAATTGAATAGTTGTAATCTTAAAAAATGACAAAAAAAACCAACAACCAGAAAACCAAAGTAGATTAATTTTGGTATACTGATGCTGATTTTGTACAGTTTGTATGTGTCACATGTGTTTTTATTTTGTAAAGATGGAACAAATGAACTAAGGCAGTACTAAGCAAGTATCCTGTTGAACTGCACTGTGTTAAGAAAAATGGTGTTCAACAGACAATTGTTTATCTTTTCACTGTTTTCATGTGAGGAGACTGTGAAGATGGCTGTTTTGCCATACAATATTTTTGTACAAGTGTGACTTTTATAGTTTAAAGTTAGCCACAAGCGTAAGCTCCTTTCCAGAACATCCAGGCTGCCTCACAACAGCTGCTAATTGCATTCATCACCAACATTGGAATTTTTCCTGAAAACAAATTTCTTCTGTTTTTGTTTTTTAGTACTTTGTAGGAAGAGATGGAGTTCAGAGTTTAGTTTTGTGAATGTACAGTACTTTAACCTGCACTAAAAGGTTTCTTGCATCTGCAGGAGAGCAACAAAGGCAAGGCAGACAAGTAACCCTAAAAACTTATTATGAGACTACCAAAAGGGGCAGCTGCTTTCTGAATGGGATGAATCAAATTCATAATTCCAACATTGATATCGAAATAGTTATATCCAGTGTACAGTTAAAAATAAGAGTTTCTCTCTGTTAACCTTTTGTCCTAGGGGGCTGTCTGATTGCTAACTAGGAACACATAAAGGTGTGTGTTAGGTTTACAAATATGAAGATGTCTCCTTTAAAGTATTTGTACCAGGAGAAAAATCTGTCACATGCTAACTCAATTATCAGA